TGCATTGGAAAACTCAACAGAGGTTTATCAGTGGGAAGTGACAAACATACCATGCTACAAGGCCTGGACCAAATTCCAGTACCGTTTTCAGGTTTACAGCTATTCACTCCTACAACAAAACACAGGGATAGCCTGTGAGGTTAAAAAAAGATCAGAAGTCAAATCTCTTCTGACTTCCTCTTCAGCTGCTGGTTGGACTGCGAAAAGGGAAACGTTTGAGTGTCTGAGAAGTAAAGAAAGAGTCTCACTGTCCAGACGATGTGACTGGGTCTCAGACTGCTTTGACGTAAGTGACGATGTCGACTGCGCTGGTCTTCGTGATACACCATCATATAAACGGTTTACCTGCACGTCTGGTATTCTCACGTCTGCAATGGCGTCAGCGACTGTTCGGACGGTTCTGATGAGGAATTCTGCTCACCTGTACCCGTGGACAACCCTGCCCTGGCGGTGTGTGCCAATGGGATCCCGGTGCCGTCCTCCGCCTGGTGTGACGCCACGCCCGACTGTCTGGACGCTTCTGACGAGCTAGACTGCTCTAGGTGTAACGGCCGGGCCATCCTGTGTCCATCTGTCGGATGTTTGCCGTCCCACTGGGCACACGACGACGCCCTGGATTGCCACGTCAGAGACAGGAGTGATCGATGGATCCTTGAACTTGAACCTGACTTCGTACCCCACACGGTAGACGCTCGACCATCACCAGGCGTTGTCTGGCCAGACGGGTACGGCAAAGTGACCACCCAGAGCTATCCACACGTCCAGTGCCCCAGAGGGTACTGTATACCCGTCTACATGCTCTGTAATGGCCACAGAGATTGCCCGGAAGGACAGGACGAGCTGGCAGAGACATGCCAGTCCTTTTGTAAGGGTCGCTACAAATGTCACCAGACTTCCATGTGTCTCCTCGATGACCACGTCTGTGACGGCTGGTTCCACTGTCTGCTATACGACAATGAGAGGTTTTGTTTGACAAACAACACGTGCTCGACTGGATGCAATTGCTGCGGAGAAGAAATGACCTGCCGTTCTGGTTTCACGGTCAGTAATCTTGTACACGTGAGGCGATTGAGTATTTCTCACACTGATCTACCAAATGACTCTTTGGCAATTCAAAACCACTATATAATTGCTCCGTTTTCCCACAACTAAAAAATTCGACGACCTGGTCTGCTGGTCATGTTGAACCTATACCATTTAGATTTAAGCGACAATGTTTTACAAAATTTAGCACCGGACGCCTTTGAAAAAACTCGGGAATTCGTCAACTTTTTCTTTCCAGGATTTTGCGTTTGATGGACTGTTAGAACTTAGCACCCTCACCATGAAAAGGAATTCAATCTCTGTTTTTCATCAAAATATACTGTTAGGTCTGTCTCAGCTTTTCTCCGTGAGTAGTGATAACTACAAGTTGTGCTGCTCAATCATGAAACCGAAGTCCTTGTCTAAGGGAACCTGCCAAGCTCCAAAAGATGAAATTTCTTCATGTGGGGACATCCTTCGGACGACCTTTTTACGGGTTTTTCTGACAATCTTAGGCAACGGTTGTGTCCTGATTTATCAGCTGTTTGTAGAGCGCAAGCCTTCGAGACTAGGATACAACACGTTTGTAACCAACCTCAGCGCCTCCGATCTTCTCATGGGGATTTACTTGGCTATCATTGGCGCTGCGGACCAAGTCTACAGGGGACGCTACTTGTGGGAAGCAGACGCGTGGAAAAGCTCGAGTTACTGTTCCTTAGCCGGGTTTCTGTGCATGGTGTCGAGTGAGGTCTCCGCCCTCACCATTTGTATGGTCACTCTAGATCGGTACCTAGCCCTGGCCTTCCCGCTAGCCAATGTCCACTTGACCCCGAAGAAAGCCCGATATCTGACACTGGCCACATGGGTTGTCGGTATCCTGTTTGCTGGTATTCCTCTGTTACCTCCCATATCCCACTGGCAGTTCTACGCTCAGAACGCTGTGTGTGTCCCACTGCCGATCACCCGTGCCGATTTCCTCGGGAGAGACTATGCCTTTGCCATCTTCATCCTCCTTAACTTGACCATATTTGTGAGCATCGCCGTTGGACAAATTCTCATCCACCGCGCAGTGAAGGCAAACAGTTGCACGATAAAGGGCGCTGCGATATGTAGGAGGTTAGTTTTGTTGTTGTTGTTGTTGCTGCTGCTGCTGCTGTTGTTGTTGTTGTTGTTGCTGCTGTTATTGCTGCTGCTGCTGCTGCTGCTGCTGCTGCCTTTGTTCTTGTTGTTGTTGTTGTTGTTGTTGTTGTTGTTGTTGTGCTAATGGCGTTGGTATCGTATTTTTATGTGGACTTAGGACAGCATCTTGAAACTGTGTGTCTATGTGGATCAGCGAGCGAAAAGATGGTGTGTC